AGGTAAACAGCATTCTCTGCAATCATGCTGGCCACAGGATCACAGAGTTGTCCTGGGACAACGCTGGCTCTTTGGCTTAGTAACAAAGATGAGCACCACCCCCTACAGTCAAACACGACTTTACACTTTGTCAACAGGGAATACATTTACCTTTACCTTTTTATGTCCAAGTGGCTTCAAGTGAGAGTTCAGATTTTAGGTTAGGGAAAACATTTTTTTTCTTTGCCACTTTGCCTGAGCCTTTCCATAGGATTTTGGTAGAATGACCTCTCAGGCTGAGTGCCCCTTACTTTTTGACAGTTTTTGTTTGAAGTTACTATTATTAATATCCAAAGTCCACAAAATGGTGATACCTTTTTGGACCAAATGAGGTGCACAAAATACATATCACAAGTCTTTGAAGGTCCTCTGGCTTTTTCATCAGGTAAAGGTATTAAAAATCATTCAGAAGGGAAATAAATTGACAAGGGGCCAGAACACACTGCAGAAATAATCCAGTTTGAGACCACTTTAATTGCCCTGACTCAGTGTAGGAATCCTGGGAACTGTAGTTTGTTTTAGCACCACAGCTCCTGACAGAGAAGACTCAATGTCTAAAAAAAAACTACAGTTCCCAAAATTCCCTAGCATTCAGCCAGGGCAGCTAAAGCAGTCTCAAACTGGATTATTTCTGTAGTATGTTTTGGCTCAATGTTAGTCACAGGCCCACATTTTGTCAAGATGCTGTTGGTGCTGTCCTCAGTATGGAGTGATATCTATGCAGGCAGGCTGGAGTCACCTGTAAAAAAACACCAATTAAATAACAACCATATTAAAACATTCATTTTAAACAGTTAAAAAGGAAATTAAAACATAATGATAATTATAATTTTAAAACACATACACCATTTAAAAGACCTTCTATTATGGACAGTTAATAGGCAAAGGTCTGGAAAAACAGTTTTGCTTGTGATATAGCACCATATAAATGTGACTTTTTATATTTTTTAAAGCAATATTTTATCCCTTAAGGCTATAAGATACAGTACTTTTAAACATACATGCACAATGCCAGGAGAATGTCTGCTTGTAGCAATTATAAATAGATTATTATTGTTTCCTGATTTATTTATTTTTTAGGTAAACATGAGACTCATATTTACTTGTTTTCTGGAGGTATACATGCACACACCATCTACTGTTATTTATATACTTTGCTGTCCTACTATGTTGTGATCAGCAGACCATAAATAAAAGATCAATCAATACTCTTTGAACAGGTAGACCTGAGTGATCCAAATCTATAGAGTGTTTTAGAAAACACAAATATTTGAAACCTCTAATGCAGGGATCCCCAAACTATGGCCCGCGGGCAGGCCCCGGCCCATCGAGGCCTTCCTACCGGCCTGTGGCAGGTCCTGCCGCTGCCGCCGTCGCTTGCGCCTGCCACCGGACGCCATTTTGGAACACAAAATGGCGCCTGTCGTCGCGCGTGCATGTGCGCTACTCGGGCACCATTTTGTGTTCCAAAATGGCACCCGGAGTTTTGTGCATGCGTGCGCGACGCCACGTGCATGCACACGACTTCAGACTCCATTTTGGAACACAAAATGGCATCTGGAGTCACACGCATGCGCGCGCTCCTCCAACCCCCCCGGAAGATCTGGGGGCCAGCGAACTGGCCCCGGATCAAAAAGTCCAGGGACCCCTGCTCTAATGGAACCCCAAACGGTAGCAAACAGTCAACTGATGGATTTAATTCAAGGTATAACTGACAATTTATAGGGCAACAAGCAATTGATAAAGTAATTGGACTGGCTTCTATTGATTGTTGAAGCACAAACTAGTGGGTGGACTAAGACAGGCACCTTTTCTCCACATCACTACTGTATTACAATTCTTTTCAAAGCTTTTTTAAAATACCCACATCACATGTTATCTACCACATATGCTTTGGCGACCAGGCCCATAGAACAGCGAAGAGGCCTGGGCCAAAGGGACGCGCTGTCCCTTTAACCCAGGCATGGCTCTTCTATGGGCTTGGTCGCCGAAGCGACCGCTTCGGCGACCAAGCCCATAGAGCAGCAAGGCCGGCCCCAGCCTCGCTGCGGAATGGATTAGGCATTTTCAATGTTAAATTTGCTTCTACTTACGAAATTTTCTACTTACAAAATGGCTGTCGGAACGGATTAATTTTGTAAGTAGAGGTACCACTGTATCACTATTTTGTGGATGTTGGTGTTCTTCTTATATGATTTTAACAATCCAGTGAGGCAGCCTACTGGACAACACTGGAACTAGCATTCTGTGAAAAATAAATTTTATCAGAAAGGAATGGAAACTGAAGAAATACAGAAGCAAAAAATGATTGTTGTCCAAGCCCTAAAAGGCTGCTTGTGTTCTTAAGTCACATAGCAGGGGTATTTCCTCACGGTACAACTTCACATAGATTTGAACACCATACAGTAGTTAGAAGTCTTGTACCTTTTTCTTTGGCTCTGTGTGTATGTGCCTTCAAGTCATTTTCTGACTTATGACGACCCTAAGGTGAACCTATCATGGGATTTTCTTGGCTAGATTTGTTCAGAGGTTTGCTATTTCCTGAGACTGAGAGTGTGTGACTTGCCCAAGGTCACCCAATGGCTTTCATGGCTGAATGGAGAATTGACCCCTGGTCTCCAGAGTGGTAGACCAGCACTCAAACCACTATGCCACACAGGCTCTTTTCTTTTGCTATCTTGTGATTTTTGTCCAGAATTGAACTTTTCCAAGCTTTGCCTAAGTAAATTGATTTAAAACTAGGGCTACTGCTTTCAAGCATGATTCACTTCTAGATATGCACTTTAAGGCTTGCAGCCTTTAAAGCAAAAGGATACTACCAGTACACCTGACAATATGCTAAGTGAAACAAACTGAAGACAACAAACCATTAAAAAGAGAATCCATAATGGAAGATATTGTCCCTGAAACTCATATGCGAACCGCATCTACCAAAGTTATTCCAAAGATTATATGCCACAATTCTGTGTTGATTTGTAAAGAATCAGATGTCAAACCATTCAAGTATTATGTAAATAAATACAGTATTAATCATTGAAAAGTTTTTTAAAAAAAAACAAAACCTTAAAACAACTAGCTATGTGAGTCTGCCCATGAGGAAATGCTAACAGAGAAACTGTTTCCTATATTCATCTACACTGTCATTTTTTTAGGGAATATAATAGCTCATTTTATTCCTCCCATTTTTTGTTTACATCCAAGTTCTTGCTGTATGCCTTCAAGTCATTTCTGACATGCCAACATTAAGACGAACCTATCATCACAAGGTTTTCTTGACAAGATTTGTTCAGGGGGGGGGTTGCCGTTGCCTCTGAGGCTGAGAAAGTGTGACTTGCTTAAAATTGTCATGACAAAGTGGGGATTCCTTGGTCCCTAGAGTCACAGTCCAATGCTCAAACCACTACACCACAGTGGCTCTCTATACGTTTCTCCCTCTCTATACTAATGAAGAACATTAATGTTTTTTAAAGGGGTAGTCATGTTAGTCTGACTAAATCAAGAGTTTACTTAAACCAGGAACAACTACATGGGAGCCAAGGGTCAATTCTCCTCCTCACACCACACCTGTCCTATGATACAGGAAAATACCCCCATTATCAGTGCATCAATGCCAGTTACTGTTGTGGAAGATATGCAGCTAAAAACTGAGGAGGGGAGTACAGGAACATGTTTATATAATGTTTAGTGCTGCGTTCTTGGGGTTTGTGTGTATTAAATATAGACGTTTAGGCTTTGAGGGTCCCAAAAGTGTGGTCCAGTGAGTGCATGGAGCCAAGGGCTGAACTTTCCTCATCCCTGTTCTACAGAGTAACATTTTAAATAGCTTTCACAGCCAGATTTCTTGCTGTTGCCAGTAATATGGTCAACTCCATGGAAACACCAACTATTTTCCAATCCTCTCCTTGCTTTGCTCACTATCTGGCCTGATGAAGAGCTCTGAAGAACTCAGTACTTTGTCACCCAATGGGAGTTTTATACTACTATGGGTTTTGGTTTCAGTTGTTTTTTCTTTTATTCATTCCTCATTAGACCAAGATGACTACTTTTGCTTTATTATTAAGGCAACAAATGTTAAGTGAGGCTAGGTCATTTTGAAATTGATTTCATTACATAAAGCAGGGGTAGGCAACCTAAGGCCCAGGGGCCGGATGCGGCCCC